GAAAAATTATGTAGTTACTATATTTACAATTGTTTAAGAGACATCTGACATCTCCTATACCTCCTTTACAGATGAAATTGACTTTGAAGTACAGATAGTAACTACACATGAAAATTGCCTCTGCTTAACCTTATATAGTGCCTGAGATGATGGATAGTCAAGGAAATAAACAAATGGATCATAGAGCAATCTATAATTTTCACTTATAATACAAATGATCAAGCCCAAACTATTGCACTTTATGCACATTATATCCTGACCCAACTTCTTTGAAGAATTCATACTGCCAAAAAAGTTGAAGTAAAGAGAAGAGGATGATTAGCAGAAAGATGGATAGACTTAATTATGACAGCAGTGAGTGAAGCATTGAGAGACCTAAAGGTCATGCTGAAGACAGATCATATATGGATGCTAAGAGTCAATACAGACAATGGCCCTAAATTAATATCGTGATTAAATTAACCATTTATTCTTGGCTGTTGCTATGCATACATTGATTCACTGAACAAGAAATGTATGATATTTTCATTAGTTACATTCTTTAAAAAATGATATTCAACATATTCAGTACAAGTTATTCCACTTGCGCATTCATTCAGGCTTTTAAAATCTGCTCCGAAGGACCTTACAAATATGATGATTTAATATATGTAAATATATTAAATTTGCATATATTAATATACAGTATGAAAGTAGATTGTTTTTTAGAACCCCATTTTCTTCTTCATTTTTATGTGTTGTGCAATATTCTTCTCATGGATCAATTCCGTGAGTAACAGAAATGTCACATCTTCTGTTTTAATTAACTCCTGTAAATTTTAAACACAGTTAACTTATTTTTATAAATAAAAACCAGATGAATAAATTGTAGCACCTTAGCTTAGTTTCTCTGAGCTCCATTAACTGGGTAAACGTAAGCAGAATTTAGATATATGCAGGAAAATACATTTTATGTTAAAATAAAACATAATTAATTTTCCAGATTAATTTTCCATTTTCCTGGATATAGGGAATGTGTTACCAAGAACAGCATTACCAGAGTGCGTGTGTGTGTGTGTATGTGTGTGTGTGTGTATACATACATACATACATACATCTCAGAGGACTGCTGTTATGGGGGGAAACAGGAGGAGGGGGAAGAAATATCATATATGTTTGCTGCCTTCAGCTAGTTCTAAAAGTAAGAAAGGTGGGATAAAAAAATCTAATCTAAAAATACATACATGCAATACTTGGATATATTAAAAACTTCATTATATCATGATTTCAAAGTTATCATCTGCAATTTAATGCCATCATGAATTAGTAGATATTTGTATGTAACTTTGTAGGTTTAACTTTTCCTCAGTTTTGCAAGTTAATAATAACTGTTACCCGAGATCTGCATAAGTGGGACTGACTGGGGTCGATTGCAGGGGTGATACCAAAATATAATTTTATCATATTTCATCTATATCTTAAATTATTATATTTTATTCCAAGTTCATTTTAGACTGTATTTTATTCCAATTTCATTTTAAATTGTATTTTATCCAATTCCATTTTAAATTGCTTTATTAAATTTTAGTAATAATTTTTTTCTGGAATTCTGCACTTCGATATGGCCCAAGGGCTAATCAATAAAGATTGGATTGAATTGAATAACTGTTACTAAAGCTATTCTAATAATTCACTTGGGAAGGCATTGAATTGGAATGTGAATCAGAACACAACCTTGAAAAGTCAAGTCCCCTGAATGCTGTCCTTTATTCAGACTCTCTCTCTCTCCCTCTCCCTCCACACATACACACATCATTTTACTTTTTAAAAAATTACATCTGATAATTCTAGCTATCTGTGTTCATAACGATTATTGTTTGTGGTTTCTGATAAGTATAGCCGTCCCTGGTATAAAACTGTAAAGACTTTAGAATAAGAAACAAACTGCAATACAGTCATACTAAAAACGTAATGCTATGTTGAAAGCTTAACCCTATCAAAAAAGGTTTCTATAATTTTATTCACTTCATCGAGTATATTGGCTTCCACAGCATCCTCAATACAAGTACATTTTCTCAAGTCAATCGTGATCTGAAGATTGTGATCTACATATACATATAAATATACTATATACTATATAATATTATATATATAATATTTTATATATAGATAGATAGATAGATAGATAGATAGATAGATAGATAGATATAGATATAGATATAGATATAGATATATAGATATAGATATATAGATATAAAATATATAACACACCCGCAGCCAATCAGAACACAGCCAAGCCCCCACCCAATCAAGTCACACACCCACTAGCAGTTAAAAGGAAGAAGCAGCTGCAAGCTCATATTACTCCGAGAAGCACAAAGCCGAAGACACAAGCCTGAAGATGACGAATGAGACTTCATCGAAATGTCACCTAGATACTTCCAATTTTACGCAGGAGAAAACCCAAATAACCAATAACAAATACCCGCGAAAACCTCAGAAAACATATATCCTATATATGTTTTTTAAAGTTTTCGCAAGTATTTATATGTATGGTATTCAGCTTTGTTCGGGTATGCCTTCTTTGTGTATTTTGGGGAGGCATACCTCTCAGACCCATAGTCAGCTCCAGAAGAGCACCACTACAAAACCTAGCCAAATACCTAGCAAAGCAGCTACAGACCCATGCTGAAGCAGCAGCTTCACATGTACAAAACTCATACCACCTCTTGGAAATGATCAAAGATCTACATGTGGAACAAGAAGATCTGCTTGTAAGTTTCAATGTAGTTTCACTATTCACTCAAGTCTGGATAAAAAAAAAACTCTCAAAATCATCAAAAATAAATACCAACCACCCAAACACCTCATGGAACTAACAGAATACTGCTTAACCAACACATATTTCATATACAAAGGACATGCAAATTGAAGGAGCCCCTATGGGATCAGCATTGTCACCCATCATTGCAAACCTGTTCATGGAAGAATTTGAATCCAGAGCCCTAGCCAATGCCACCCACAAACCCAAACTATGGTTAAGATACATCGATGACACGTTTGTTATTTGGCCCCATGGAAAAGAAAACCTCAACAATTTCCTAACACACCTAAACAGCACACACCCCAAAATCAAATTCACCATGGAAATGGAAACAAACAACTACCATTCCTAGATGTACTAATCTACAAAAAAACAGATGGCTCTCTAGGACACACCATATATCAGAAGAAAACACACACCAACCGCTACCTCAACGCTCAATCCCACCAACAGCCAGTACAGTTAAACTCCGGGGCCAAAACACTAATTGCCAGAACCAAACGCCTGGCAGACAAGACACACATTAAGACTGAATTACACACCCTGACTAAAGTTCTGACAGCTAATGGCTTCCACAAAAGCAAAATCACAGGCCTGATCCACAAAAACACACTGAGACATAATGGAGACCTAGAAGATGAACAGACCTATGGAACAGCTGTCCTGCCCTACATAAGAGGTACTACAGACAAAATCAGTAAGATACTACACAGGCATCACATCAAGACTGCCTTCAAAACAGACAGAAAAATAGCAGCAATCCTAAGAAACCCCAAAGATAAAATTGACCTGGAAAACCAAGGCATATACGAAGTCCCCTGTGCATCATGCCCTGCGACATATATTGGACAGACCAACAGAAGAATAAGGACCTGCCTAGATGAACACAAAAATGCAGTAAAAAAGCTGGAACACACTTCCTCACTAGTACAACACATGAAAGCCACAGGTCATAGCATCAACTTCAATGGCACCAAAACCCTAGCCACTATAGAAAACCCCAGCCACAGAATCATCAGAGAAGCCATAGAGATTGAAAAAAGACCTGAAAGCATGTATAGAAGAGATGATTCCACCAGAATGTCAATTATTTGGAAGCCTGCACTCTCAAACAAAAAAATCTCCACACCACAAGCCACGCAAACACCTGAGGATCAAACAGATCCCCCCTGATACCTCCAGTTCAAACACACCCCAACCAGGCACCCAGATGAAACCTAGCTTTATAACAAATGATAGCCGTCCATTTACCCGAAGCCAAACCGCACTAAAAGCCTCCAATACAGGAAACACAATGTTGCCAGCCAATCAAGACAAAAAAAGCCACAAAACAGACAGAAGATATTAGAAACACCAATCAAGCAGAACACAGCAAACTCCAAGACCAATAAACACAGACCAAGACTCCCAACCAATCAGGATGAAGAAAAAAAAACCTTCTGGCACAGCGTAGGCCAGCACCAAATTTAAAACAGAAATGGCTGTAAAAGTCTGACTCACAGACGAACTCAATACAGAAGCCTGATGATGGCAGATGAGATTCTGCTGAAACGTTGCTACAACTTTAAAAGCACAACTATAATGACGTGGGAAAATACCTGAACAAAGCTGAATACCATATATATAATATATACTATATACTATATACTATATACTATATACTATACACTATATAATATATAATATATAATATACATATATAATGTATAATATATAATATATAATATACATATAAAAAGACTGTGATCTATATATACGTATAAATACGACTTCAGCCACAGAGTGGTTAATGTTTGGAATACTCTACTTGACTCTGTGGTTTCTTCCCCAAACCCCAAAAACTTTAACCTTAGTCTGTCTACTATTGACCTCATCCCCTTCCTAAGAGGCCTGTAGGGGGCGTGCATAAGTGCACCAATCATGCCTACCGCCCCTGTTCTATTGTTTCTTTTTATTTTTCTTATAAGTATCTATCTCATGTATTCAAAACTATGTTTATTCTTATACCTATATCTTGTAAGCGATTGACAAATCAAATAAATACTAAAAAATATTTGGAAACCACTGGAGTGAAACTATAGCATATCCAGTGTCTTCTGATAGGCAGGGATTCCCAAGCACAATGCCAGCTTTGGTACTTGACAGGAATTCTATTTGGAAACAAAAAAAATAAGCTAAAAAAAACCCCACTGTTTACCTTGTCCTGGTAATGCCAGCACCGATCTTGTTCTGCTTTGCCTGCCCTCTGAATTTTTATTGGAACAGGACTGAGAACAAGGTGACCATTGCGACCACTCCGTCACAACACAATCCATCCCACAGGGTACTTCACAAGTTGTTGTTTTGGAAGGCGATGGAGAATCAGCACAAAAATCATCAGCTACATCCTCATCTAAAAAAGAAAGAAGCCAACATAAAATGATAAGTACCTTGATCAAGATAAAGATCATTAATATGATGAAGAATAGGATAGGGAGGAACAAATGTACATTAGTTCACGCATTTTTCCCAAACGTCAGGTGTGTTCAATGTACATGCTCCTACTTTATAGGGATTCAATCACCATCACTTTCTTTGGGCCAACTGCTGAAACTTTCTAGTGCAGGGATGGAATCACCGCACCATCCATATATTATTAATTTCAATGTTTATCAGCCCTTGGAGGCACAGTAATACAAAATAATAGAAATCACCATCTAACAATATACAAGACACCTATAATACTCTAGGGCCGTGATGGCACATGTGCCACACAGAGTCATTCGTGCGGGCACGTGAGCCCCAGCCAAACTTACCTGCACTGCGCATGCACGTGCCTCCCAACTGATTTTTGGCCCGTTTGAGACCATTTTCACCCTCCCGGAGGCTTGAGGGAAGCCTCTGCAGCCTCAGGAAGCTGAAAAATGGGCCTTCTGGAAACACTGGAAGTGACGAAACGGGCCCGTTTTCAGCCTCCCAAGGCTCCCAAGACTTCCCTCGAGCCTCCAGAAAGGTGAAAACGGCCTCCCTGGGCTCCAGAGGCCCTCTTGGAGGCTGAAAACGGGCACTTCCGGTATTTCCAGAAGGCCTGTTTTTCGGCCTCCTGAGGTTGCAGAGGCTTCCCTCGAGCCTCCTGGAGGGCGAAACCAGCCTCAAATGGGCCAAAAATCAGCTGGGAGGTGCATGCATGCACAGTGCAGGTGTGGGGGCAGGGCAGGGGTGTTGTGCATGCATGTGCGGGGGGAGGCAAGGTGCATTGCATTGGGTGCTGGTGCGCGCGTGCTTTTGGCACACCATAACAAAAAGGTTTGCCATCGCAGCTCTAGGGTCTGACCTTATTGAAATATTGTCATGTGTGGATCAGAATATCTTTGCAAAATAAGAGACGGCATATGTCAACTGCCTTGACTTGCCAGTAGTCACATTTACAAGATGCAAAGCCATATTTTTGAAATCTCCTACAAGTCATATTAAAAAAGGTCAAATTCAAAACATTTGTTAATTCTTTTTTAGATTTCCTAGAGCCATGATGGTGAATCAGGCAAACTTACCTCACTGCGCATTACAACTGATTTTTTTTGGCTGGTTTGAGGCCTTTTTTGGCCTCCCAGAGGCTTGGGAAAAGCCTCTGCAAGGCTTTTCAGGACAAATTATAGGCCTGTTTCATCACTTCCTGTAATACTGGAAGGCGCAGTGCAGGTAAGGGGGTGGGATGGGGGATTGCGCGTGCATGGGCAAGGGGCATGGGGAGGGGGCGTGCATTGCATTATGGGTGCTGGCATGCAAGTGCGTGTGCACTAGCGTGCACACAATTTTTTACACAGGAGCCCCAAAAGGTTAGCCACCACTGTCCCAGAGTCTTCAAAGCAGTGCGCAATAAATCAACTACATTGACGCAGTTAGATAGTTAATGTTTTAAATGAAACTACTATTAAAATCCCAGAATTCCATCATTAAGATTGGATATATATATATTTGAGCAGCAAAACAATTATCAAGGCACTCGTACAAAAAAAAAACGTCTCTACCTGTCAACCGCAAGCTTCAAAAGCATGGGAAAGATTTTCCTTAGTGCATTCTTCAATAAAAGTTCAATATACACTTGATGCGAAGAAAAAAAATTGAGGAAATTATGTCCACTGAGAAGCTGAACCAAACACTTAATAATTCTGATCATGGAGCAACCTAAGAGAAATGTATGTGCTATCTTGCAAAGATAAGGGAAGTACATATGTTTAGTTGATTCTGGCCTTTTGGGGCACTCGAAAATAGAAGAACATGGTGATGTGCCCAGAGATAAGACACAGAAAACTGGACTGAGTTATGGATATCAGCTTTGAACAATTCCCCAGCTTGAGTTCTTTAAATCGGAAATCTGTATCCCTGTACAAACATTTTCACTCTGAATAACTTTAACTTTCCTCCTCCTTCAGGACATCGACTTTTGTTATATTTAAGGAACCCAAGATGACCCAATAGAGGCAAGCAATTTAAATATGAAGAGAAGATAGCAATAAAATGAAGAAATGCAATTGAAGGAGAAGTAGGAAAAAAAGCTATTTGGTTTATGATGATAATGTAGAGAGATCTATATTCCTTTGTCTTTACAAAAAGGCACACATGCTGCCAGTGGAAGCAGCTGTCAAATGTGCACCAGTAATTTCTATATTTATATTTCTAAATGAGGGCAGCTTCATAGCCTCTGAAATCCAAATAAAATTTTTCAAGCATATTATGGGGAATAATAAAGAGAATCGAGAATGAAGCAAACAATCATGCCAGGATGGATGGATGGATGGATGGATGGATGGATGGATGGATGGATGGACGGATGGACGGAGGGAGGAATGGACGGAGGGAGGAATGGACGGAGGGAGGGATAGATAGCTGGCTGATTGGCTGCATCTCCCTCTCTATCTCCCCCCACCCCCCAAAAAATCAACTATATATTTTCTGGTAGACTTTGCTACAGGAAGGGCCAACTAGCAATAGCACTTAGACTTATATACCACTTCATGGTGCTTTACAGACCTCTCCAAGTGGTTTACAGAGTCAGCATAGTGTCCCCAATAATCTGGGTCCTCGTTTTACCGACCTCAGAAGGATGGGAAACTGAGACAACCTTGAGCTGGTAAGATTCGAACTGCTGGTAACCCACAGTCAACTGTTCTGACCCAACCGGGTTCCCAGAAAGCAAGCACAGACAAACTCAGTAACTCAAACCTTCACAGCTTTAATCTACAAATAAACTTCTTTGTAGATAAAAGATGGCTTCCAGCCAATTAGTCCACCCAGAAAAACCTTGACAGAATTCTTCAGATAAGCCGGAGTCTCTACACACAATGCTGAGTCCTTCGAACGTTTTTGCCTTCTACAGAGCAAAAACCCTTTGAAACCAGGCTTATATTCCCTGGAGAGAGGGGCCATTACTTAGCATTCTTACTCCCGAGTCACCTGTGCTGCTCCAGCTGTTCTCTTCTATGAATCATCCTGCGCTCATGCGGACTTGGCACAGGCTCCTCAGGAACCTCCTCCTCCTCCTCATTGCTGCCGGCTAACCACAACATCAGCAGAAGTAGCCTGTAGTACTGCAAATGTACCCCTAAAGGCAGTATAACCCAAAGATAGGGCTATTACTTAAGAAGGACCTTAATCATTTCTACTGCTATATTCTCTCCCTCCCTTCCTCCCTCTCTCTGACGCCCCTGTGTGATTGAAGATGACGAAGCTTAACTTTCATGATCACTGTATATTTATTCTAGTGTGCTGGATGATGACATAAACGTCAAAATAAGAATGATGAAATAAATGTCAAAAGAAACGTCCTCCAACAAGGCTTCTCATCATGAATCAACATCAATCTCTTTCCATGACACATTTGGCAAGATTCTCTTGCTGCACCTACAATCTGTCATTTAGTCATTCTTCGGAAAATGTCCTATTGCAGCAACACCACTCCGGATAGTCACATTTAGCTGACAGCAGATGAGCTAAATGGGGTGGGTGGGAGAAGAAGAATTAAACCACGCACCAATTATATGTGCTTGTCTCCATAAGTCATTCTGATATTGTAGCCCTTGCAAGGATTTTGAGAATCCGCCTGGATGGTAGCTGTTACTAGATTCTAAAAACTAGAATCACAAAAAAGTTAAAAAGAACCCTTTAAAGTTATTTAAAGCCTGAGAGTTGTTGACGGTTTACAGGACAGGAGCCAACTTGTAAATTAGTATGTAAGTAAATAAATATCATTTCACCATTTCTGTTTAAAACAAGCGTATCACAGATATGCTCTACCAATGAGATGGGCAGTTTCTAAATTGATATATAATAAATAATGAATAAATAATCTGTCTTATTTGCTACATTTTTCAAAGAAAACACAGAATACGTGTCCAACTTTCACAGCTACAATTCAAATGATTTACGTTTTGTGTTTCTTCTAGTCCATGTGGATAAAAGTAAAAAATTCTAGTTTGTAGTAATAATGGTACTGTTGCTATAACCTCCAAAACAAGGAATAGAATTACCGAAGAAAAGAAGAACTAACCTGATCATGGGTTTCAAGTTATCGCAAGAAAATATTTATGCAGGTGAAAAATAGGATACATAACAAGTGCTGAATATCACCTACTTCAGCACAACTTGAAAAAGCAATATTGGACAATAATTTCATAAGGATAACACTGGACAGTTTGACAAATGAATTATACAAATATTTTATTCAAAATCCCAGTATATGAGAAATGTAAAACATTCAAGGAAACTAGAATGCCAAAGAGGAGTTTACTGCAGTTTCATCCTATCATGCAATGTTGCCATAAATTTTCATGCCTTATAAAAAGGTGACTTTATTCTCACACTGGACCAAAGTGACTGAAAGCAAAACAATCTATTTATTCAGAACTTGCCGGTTATAAGATATCTGTAGCAACTGCCGAAGATGTATTTCTGATTTCTTCAACTCTTCTCAAAATAATAAATTGTAGATCATGAAACAAATTATTTGACTCTAGCTGTCTAAAGAGATCCTCGGTCTTCCAGATCATGGCTGTCCCAAAGGTGCTTTTTCAAAAGGCAACTGGACTTTCTTGATTTTTCCTTGAAAACGTTTTGCTTCTCCTCCAAAAGTGAAGTGAAAAAGCTTCTGAAGAAGCTTCCTGGATGAGAAGCGAAACGTCTTCAAGGTAAAACAAAGACAGTCCAGTTGCGTTTTGGAAAAGCACCTTTGGGATTCTGGCTTCCTGTGAAATTGATTGGCAAATTCACATTAATGTAATGGCCTCCATAGGTCTTCCGTACCAAAGGCTGGGCCAACATCCCACCAGACAGTTACTCTTCTTTCTTCTGGTTAGATGACTCTTTGGCCATCAGCTATATTCTATTAAGATCTTGGCTTTCATCTTGAGGATTGAC